ATAAAATTTGGATTATAGATAAGAAACATAAGGGTATCAAGACCAAATCTCCAAATTAATGAAATAAAAAAAGTCCCAATACAGTATAAAATTCACATTAATACAGTAGAACTTGGATAATTCGAACTTCTTTAATTCGAAAACCTCTTTAATTCGAATATTTATCTTGGTCCCTAGAATTTCCTATATAAATAATGTTAAAAAATCGTGGTTAATTTGAATTATGTCTTGGATAATTCGAACTTTTACGAGTTAAAATAAGGACCTGATGCCGGTTCAAGGCGTGAAATCTATCGTGAAAGCTTCCTCTATTGATGATATGCAAGGCAGCCAATCCACGTTGTTTCAAGAACGTCAAAACGAAGCCAGTGGACTATGCAAACAGCGCAAGAGCTTGGATGACTAGTTATCTTTTTGAGAAGTGGCTGTTGAACTTGGACAAAAAGTTCACAAAAGAAAAACGAAAAGTTATTTTATTTATCGATAACTGTACTGCACACAACTCAATCCCTCCAATGGAAAATGTGGAAGTAATTTTTTTTCCTGCCAACATGACTTCGGTTATCCAGCCCATGGACAAGGGAGTCATCAAAAATCTTAAGCATTTTTACAGACGGTTTCTAGTTGAGAACATATTGACAGGAGATTCCGAAGCCCTTAAAATCAAACTAGACGTTCTTCAAGCCTCTCGATTGTGTAAGAAAGCTTGGGACCAAGTAACGTCCGAAACGATCAAACACTGTTTTAAAAAAGCTGGTTTCGTAAAAAGGAGGAGGATGAAAAAAATGCAGATGATATTATAGCGGAAACGATGCCTTCAGTTGACGGCTGGGAGGACGTCATTTCTAATCCTACCATCTCGTATGACGATTTCTTAAACGTGGATGACGATGTTGCAGTATGTGGTGAGATAACCGACGCAGATATCATCGCTGAAGTGCTCAACCACAACATTGAAAAACAAGACGGCGACGAGGCATCGGGTGATGAAGACGAGTCATCAGTTGCCGGGGAAATGAACGTTCCAAGTGCGGCCGAAGCAACGAACTATATCATGCAACTTAGACGCTTTTTTGAAAGTAAAAATGATGTAAGTCCCTCTATTTTCCACTCTTTGAATATGTTAGAATCCTTTGTCCTTACTGAAAGACTTAATTCTAGAAAACAGGCTAAGATTTCTGACTTCTTTGGCAAAAATTAAATTTCAGAGTTCCAACGAAGCAGAATAATCTGTACATTTTTTTAACCAGCAATCTGCCTTTTTTTTTTTTTGTACATTAATACATCAGTTTTGAAATTTTTTAATATGTATATAGTATATACATACAATTATTGCACATAATCTAAATATACGGTAAAAATGTAAATTTACAGCAACTAATGTTATTCTTAATAAAGGAATTGATCGAAATTGTGAGATTTTTATTGTTTTAAGCCTTTTATTCAAAACATCTTTAATTCGAATTTTTGGATAATTCGAATTTTTTTATGGTCCCTTGGGGTTCGAATTATCCAAGTTCGACTGTAATTAAAATAAATGTACAGTTAAACCTGTCTATAGCGCCCCCTCTAAATAGCGCCTTCCTCTCTATAGCGCCCGATTTTAAACACTAAAATGTAAACATTTTAAATTAAAAGTGACCTGTCTATAGCACCCCCTCTAAATAGCGCCTTCCTCTCTATAGCGTCCGATTTTAAACACTAAAATGTAAACATTTTACATTAAAAGTTCCCTGTCTATAGCACCCCTTCTCTATAGAACCCTATTTTTCTGAGTCCCAAGAGCTATAGACAGGTTTAACGGTATAATAGTAATACATAAAATTATTATTTAAAGTATATACACTGCGTGACATTGAAAATGGAACACCAATAAATAGTGGCCAGAAAATTATGCAAATTTCAGGGTAGACGCGCCTAACCGAGTTATGCAAATGATGTAAAATGCGCAGCTCTCGTGCGCACATGGAGTAAGATATGAGGGAAGGAACTTGCAGAAAGGACAGTATTCGTGTCGTTATTTCTTCAAGGAAAATCATTGTAGGAATTTTGTTCTAGTGTCAAAAGACACGTGTAATAACAGAAATGCCAGGTCATCGTAAACGGAGGCAGTTCAAGCAGACAGATTCTTTTACGAGGGGCATGGTGATCGGACTGAAAAGGGCAGGTTGGTCCATACGTCAAATCGCAGCTGATACACACCTTGGTGCGTCCACGGTGCACCGACTGTGGAGAAGATGGTTGGAACTAGGAAATGTGGCCATTTATAGGAATGTCGGTGCAACCAGAGTGACGTCAGCACGTGTGGATCGGCGTATCCTTCGACAAGCAGTGGCGGCCCCACAAGCCACTTGTACCGCCATCCTGCAACATGTGCAAGACACCCTAGATCATTACATCTCGACCAGAACCATTTCCCGTCGATTGGTTGCTAATGGCTTGCACTCATGCCGTCCGCTAAGAAGACTGCCATTGACCCCACCGAATAGGCGCCAACGTTTGGAATGGTGCGGGCTAGATCGACCCTGGATGGCGGAATGGCACAGGGTCGTGTTCTCAGATGAGTCGCGTTTCTGCTTGTCCAGTGATAGTCGCCGTGTACGCGTGTGGCGTCGACGTGGAGAAAGGTCCAATCCGGCAGCAATTGTGGAACGCCCCACCGTGTGACAACGTGGAATCATGGTTTGGGGCGCAATCGCGTATGATTCCAGGTCGCCTTTACTTCGTATTCAGGGCACTATGACGGCCCAACGATACGTTGATGATGTGCTGCGACCGGTGACACTCCCCTACCATCAGGGGGTACCCAATACCCTTTATCAGCAGGATAACGCCCGACCGCACACTGCTCGCATTAGCCAACAAGCTCTGCAAGATGTACAGATGCTTCCCTGGCCACCGTACTCTCCTGATCTCTCACCAATCGAGCACGTCTGGGACATCATTGGACGCCGTTGCATGCCTTGCCACAGCCGCGTTCAGAAGACGAACTGTGGCAAATGGTTGAGAGGGAATGGAGCCATCCCTCAGGACGCCATCCGTACTCTGATTGACTCTCTACCAAGACGTGTTGCTGTGTGCATCGCCGTCCGCGGTGGTCCTACTTGCTACTAAGCCGACGCCGTTCTCGCTCTGTATTATGACTATCATTTTGAAATAAAGATCACTTATTGTTCGTCCCTGTCTCTCTCTGTCTGCCGAGTTTCATCACTTTCTGGCCACTATTTCTTGGTGTTCCATTTTCAATGTCACGCAGTGTATTTGGTTATATCTTAGAGAGAGAAAAATGTCAACTAGCAGTGAACGACGAAAGCTCTTGGAACTCTTTTTGTTTACTTATCCCTAATACCCATGGTACAGGCCATGATAATCATGGTGGGTAGAAGTAGGCGACTGCTTTTACTGTAAGTACACCACATGTCTACACATGTGAAAAGCAGTTCGACTTTGCACTTACAAATGTGCCAGAGCCCCCGTTTGGTTACTTGCACTCGCTGGTGGGGTTAGACTTTTGCAAGAATCGGGGGCCATTGGAGCATTTTTTTTTTAAATCAGAAAAAAGTGCCTAATGCGGGAATCGAACCCGGGTTGTAGTGATCAAAAACCAACGGTTTAGACCATCCTTCCATTGAGAAAAAGACATTTCCTGGTTGTGTGCAAATTCTAATGGCTTGCGCTCTCAACAAATAGTTGATATTTAATCAGACAGGTGGTTGTGGGGGTGCTCCATGGTTAAACCAATTCCTGAAGTCCACTCCAGTTTTGCCATGGTAGTGATAAGCCTGGGGTCCTCTATTGTCAGTTCTGAGCATGATATTGTTGCGCTGGTGACCTGATGTACTGGGATAAAACATCCGAGAAGTCTTTTTAACGTTTGTTCACAAACTAATGGTTTTAGAAAGAACACTTTCTAACTAACAATAGGAAAGTATGGGAAAATAATTATACAAAACTAAATATCGTAAAAATAATTATACGTGAAAATTAATAAGAATAAATAAGTTGTAAAAAAAGTTATCGTTAAGTCCACGAGAAAAGATGTAGCCAAAACAAATAGGTTTAGAACACTGGCACGTGACCAAACGCCTCTCTCTAACAATATGTTCCGGAGCAGCTTCCGCACTATTGCATTTCAAGCAGTTATTGAAGGTTTTTTTGTCCATTTTGAAATTTTAAGGTTTTTATATGGCCACTTCTGGGGGTCGGTGGAAGGCTGGTTAAACCGTTTGGTTTTCGACCACTACGACCCGGGTTCGATTCCCGCATTTGACACTTTTTTTCTGTTTAAAAAAAAAAATGCTCCAATGGCTCCCCGATTCTTGCAAAAGTCCAACCCCACCTGCGAGTGCAAGTAATCAAACAGGGCTCTGGCACATTTGTAAGTGCAAAGTCGAACTGCTTTCACATGAGTAGACATGTGGTGCGCTTACAGTAAAAAGCAGTCGCTAACTACCCACCATGATTATCATGGCTTGTACCACGTGCACTAGGGATAAGTAAAAAAAAACCTTCTTAGTCTAGACAGATGGTACAAGCCATTTGCAATATTTAGTTTCACAATCAACTCCGCCTTTGCCGGTCCCAAGCCCGGATGAAAAGGGAGGAGGGGGAGCAGTAACAAGCTCGCTAAACAACCTAGGCTCAGCTGGCCATGCTGATAGTACCCTGTAAGGTCTCCAGGGATACAGGATGAGCAGCGTTTGTAATCCACGTTAGGAGCGGCTGCACATGGTGTCTGTTCCTCATGTCAGAGATGGCCATTTCTTTTAGAGCTAAGTCAGTGGCCTGCCACTGAGTAGTGCTCCCAGTCTTAATGACAAAGGCATTCTACTTCACCCAGTCATGATGGTTGTCAAACAGACACCATCAACATGCTTTACAAGCTTGACACCCTGATATGATTGAGTGGAGATAAGAAAGAAGAAGGAGTTACACAATCAGGAGAGATGCCTTAATTTTTCAACCTGATCCCAGTACTATTCCCATTTGTACTATTTAATGTCAGGATGGCCGAGTTGTCTAAGGCGCCAGACTCAAGAGTAAATTTTATCCAGTAACGGGAGTTCTGGTCCACTGATGTGGGTTCGAATCCCACTTCTGATACTTTTTTCAAACCTCTGGGAAAAAACCCTGGACTATAATAGAAAAGCTGAGACAATGGGACCTAAAGAGATTGTTTAAAGGACTTGAGGAATAAGTAACAACAACATTTAAAAATATATAACAATAGAGTTATAATTTTTGTGTAAACACAAGGTAATAATTCTTGAAAATAAAGATACTTCGGCCAGTAAATCTTTTTATTACCTCACCGTTTCGACAAAAATCTTTTCTCCTCGTCAGGAACAAACAAAAATTAAACATTTAGCAAGGCGTTAAAAATCTTTCTAAAGTTCCAAGGGCGTTCTCACGCGATTTATATATACTATTGGAAATCTTTGTAAATATTATTATTATTTTTATATTTATTTTTGTTTATAATTTCTCATTATATATGTGTATATTAAAATTTATTTCAAAGATCATAGTCTTTTGTGAGTTAAGATGTTGTACAGAATTTGAAATATCGCGTGAGAACACCCTTGGAACTTTAGAATGAATTTTAACCACTTGCTAAATGTTTTGATTTTTGTTTGCTCCTGACGAGGACAAAAGCAATTTGTCGAAACGTCGAGGTAATAAAAAGATTTACTGGCCGAAGTATCTTTATTTTCAATAAATATGAATGCTGGACAGGCAGCCTCTATCTTTACGACAAGGTAATAAGACCAAATCCAAATCAATAAATAGTGGGTGATGTTTCTGTAACAGCGTTGTTACCATTGTGTTTATAATCTATAATTTAAATTGTGCCTTATAATTTTTGTGTATAATTTGAGAGGTGATATGTGGGTGTGTGTAGGAATCCTACGGCCCAATGTCCACTATGTGGAGTCCAGGCCGGTGTTCCGGGTGCTATGCTACCCAGGGGAGACCAGGTCCCTGATCCTGCTCTGGCATACAGCCTATGTAAGCTGGGTAGTCTGTCACTCTGATGTCCGCTATCTACATAGAGCTGTTCCAGGTAGAGCTGGAGTCCGCCCCCGAGGACGTAGCCATCTTCCAGGGTCCCAATAGCTCCGTGGTCCGGGAGCAGTTCCAGCTCCACCAGTCCAGCTGGCTGCAGATGAAACCCTGGCTTCCCTCCAGCTCTGTCTCTCTGCCTTCCTTCTCAGCCTCCTGCATCGGACTCAGCGGACCCTACGCCCTGCAGCTGTCACTGAGGAGTGAGTGCCTTACTTTCTTATCTCCACTCAGTAATCCTATCAGGGGATCAAGCTTGGTTGCATGGTGCTCTGTACTAAGTGTCAGCTTGAAACCCCTGAACAACTCCGCCTTTGCCAGTCCTAAGCCTGGATGAAAAAGCAGATTAAAAACAGTAACAAGCTCGCTAACCAACCTGGGCTCAGCTGGCCATGCTGATAATACCCTGTAAGGATTCCAGAGATACAGGATATGCAGCATTTGTACTCCATGTTAGGAGTGGCTGTACATGGTGTCTGTTCCTCATGTCAGACATTTCATATTGGAGCTAAGTCAGTGGCCTGCTACTGAGTAGTGCTCCCAGTCTTAATGACAAAGGCAGACACATTCTACTTCAAAAGATAAGATCCTGGAAAAAATCTCCCTTTTCCACCCTAAACACCTTTCAGTTTATAAATTAGAACTCTCTGCAATAGATACTGCTCTAAAAAACATCAACTCGCCAAACCACATTATTGACTGTATTGACTCATCCATTGATGAGCTCTACTCATCTCCAGCAGACACCATCTCAAGCTCTACAGTCCTTTTTTTTGCCTATCCCTAGTACATGTGGTACAGGCCATGATAATCATGATGGGTAGAAATAGGCGACTGCTTTTACTGTAAGTGCACCACATGTCTACATATGTGAAAAGCAGTTCGACTTTGCACTTAGAAATCTGCCAGAGCCCCGTTTTGGTTACTTGCACTCGCTGGTGGGGTTGGACTTTTGCAAGAATCGGGGGCCAAGGAGCATTTTTTTAATCAGAAAAAAGTGCCCAATGTGGGAATCGAACCCGGGTTGTAGTGATCGAAAACAAACGGTTTAGACCATCCTTCCACTGACCCCCTGTCTACAGTCTTGATACCTTAATATGATTAAGTGGAGATAAGAAAAAAGAAGAGGATATCAAGTCTGTAGAGCTTTGAGATAGTGTCTGCTGGGGATGAGTAGAGCTCATCAATGGATGAGTCAATACAGTCAATGATGTGGTTTGGGGTTGCAGGTTGACACTTAGTACATAGTACCTTGCAACCATTCTGTCATTGTCCGTAGATGGCCAGACTTAAGTCTGGAAATCAAAGACTGTTGTTCTCTTGGGAGGACAGAACCAGTGCTTGTCTCTCCTGCTCTGTACCAGTCATGTGCAACATTAGATTTCCATTTTTGCAGGCATTGAGTCTTGATGGTACAGAGACAAAATAAAGTTTACAGTCCATGCTGCTGAAAACGTCATTAAACTGTTCCTGCAGACACTTTTTGACTTGCAAATGACTTCAATTTTGACTCGGGTCTCTTGACATAGATTTATGAACCATTAAGACCATGGGGATAACATGGCAGTCTTCTCGGCTATTAGCGGGCCTCTGAGATCCAGTATGTTGTTCCGTATGACTGTCCTGAACCCAAGGATTCCATATTCTGCTAACACTCGTGGGATCTGACCGACAGCAATACTACGGTACGGTAAACCATAATCTTGATTTTTAATCTTAATTTGAGGAACTTTGAACATCAGAAATAGACAGCATCAAACAACAAGATTTAGAACAGGCCATCTCAAGCCATTGAAGATAGAAAATAACAACAAAATCTACCCCACTTGTCCCAAAATGTAGCTTGGTACCTGCAGCTCCAGAACACATTATATTAGATGTACTAAACACGACCTTTGGGAGAGGTCGCTACTTATCAAACAGTTTGAGGAGTATGGGCAATGGAATTTGTTTTATCTTTGCACAAGGGGATAAGAAACAACAACACAATCTTGATAGACAACAATTCTACCTCTATCAAACTCAGAAACATGTTGGTAAGCTTTTCTACTTCTTACACCAGGCATCAAGACAACTTTTCACAACAAAGCGATGTTACAAATGGAATTTCTGTATAAGAAATCTGCTCTACAATCTCTTCTGTTCAACACATTGTAGGTGTCGCTACTGGCACCTATTTTGCATAATTGCATTGAAAATTGGTCATTTGCATATCACAGCATCATGCAAATTTCACATCTGTACTATGTCACCTTCATAATGTATCAATGTGAATGTACCATAAATGAAAACAAAAGAGGCGTATCCTGACTGCTCACATGAGAAATTTGGATGCCATCTAGTGGAAGAAAAATCTACTAAACGTTGATTCAACTTGTTACATGATATTTAGCCAACCTATCCACCGGGGTCGGTGGAAGGATCATCTAAACCGTTGGTTTTCGACCGCTACGACCTGGGTTCGATTCCCGCATTGGGCACTTTTTTATGTTAAAAAAAATGCTCCAATGGTTCCCGATTCTTGCAAGAAGTCCAACCCCACCAGCGAGTGCAAGTAACCAAACGGGGCTCTGACATATTTGTAAGTACAAAGTCGAACTGCTTTTCACATGTGTAGACATGTGGTGCACTTACAGTAAGAGCAGTCACCTACTTCTACCCACCATGATTATCATGGCCTGTACCATGTGTACTAGAGATAACAAAAAAAAAAAATTATTGATAAATCAAGAAAAGCCAACCATGTACAGGCTGTTGGGCCTCATCAGTGCGATGCCAGCTGTTCCTCTAAGACCAAATATTCGGAAATAGAGGCTTCCTGAGAAATCAAGAAATGGGTATTTAAGGTCAAGTTTGTGTAAATGCATTTTTTGTTTCTTAATATTAACACCTGTTAAAAATAAAGAAGGCATCTCCTGACCACAAGCACATGTGCTTTTTAGATGGCAGAGCGCCATCTAGTGGAGCAAAAATAAACTAAACGTTTATTTAACTTGCTCCATGATATTTGGCCAACCCAATTTCTTGATAAATCAAGAAAAGCCATCCACTAATGTGTTTCGCGCTGTTGGCGCTCGAATGGCTTTTCTTGATTTATCACACACACACACACACAAAAGCCTTTATTAAGACACACAGGTCTTACAGAGGATTCTCCTTGGGGTTACAAAACGGAGAAAGTGGGAAATAAAAATGGTGAAAGAATATATACATATGGTAAATATATACAGATTATAAGAAATAATAAAGAAATAAGAAGAATTTTAAAAAATAAATAAATAAAATAAAAATTTTTGGAAATATGGATGGTATATACAGGAAACATTATATAAAACAATCAAGCTAATAGATTAGTCTGAGTAAATTGGAGGAAAAGAAATTTATTATACAACAACAACAACAACAAAAACTTTATTAAGACCTTTTAGTCTTATGCAGATTCTCCAAGCAGAAATGTAGGATACATACAGGAAAAAAAAAAAAATAATAATAGTACCTTAATGGTACATTATAGTGGAAACATTTTATAAAACAATCAAGCTAATAGATTAGTCTGGGTAAATTGGAGGAAAAGAAATTTATTATACATGGATTTGCCACGGATTCACCGCAAATGAAGATAAAAAAGCAAAAGCTAATCACAATCAATATTGAGATAATGAAATTTATACATTATAATTAAGACAATTGAGCTCATTAACATATTTAAAAGGGTAAATCCGAGAGGAAAAAAAAGATACAAAATAAAAAAATGAAAAAAAAAAAAAAAAAAAAACACTGGAATTTACATATGGTACATACACCAAGATTTTTCGTCTCAATAAAATAATTTCTCAGCTGATGAATGAAGGTTATAAAAATTTGAAGCGTAGATTTTTTAAACAATATTTCCATTCATAGAAAGCGAAATATATAAGAAATTAAAGCAAGGAAGGAATAAACATTATATCATGTCAGGTCTTGTTGAATTATTCGGTAGCAGCTTTGAGACAATCGAACAATCTTTTTGCACCAGGGGGTTCGCTCTTATCTCGCCGATA